ATTATTCCGAACGTATGTAAACAGTTAATATTTCATTCACGAACTATAATATCAGACATCTTAAAGAAAAGTTGAAAGCGAAGAACACCGCATCGGAGGGTTAGATAAATCAAAATAAATAGTACTAAAGATTCAACCCGTAAAGAGAGCGTGGGTCACATCCAGTCAGGGCTGCCAAGAGCTCGAGAGAGTTGAAATTATCGTTGTCGATGTATCTTAACTGCTGTGCTTTCTTTTAACTCGACAGCATATGGTTTTTCATGTTGTAAATAGACTTTTACTACAAAAATATATTTATTGTATTAATAAGATGCCATTTTAAAGTGCCATTATAGATACGATAATAAAAAGTAGGATAATAAAAATATACAAAAAACAAAACCAGACATTATCCCATTATGATATGATTCCGAAAATATAAGATTTTTAACAACCAGCAATGGATAACAATATGAACGTAAACAATACTATTTTGATATTCAAAAGATTTGTTAAAAAAAAGCTGTTTATTTTTCCTCTCATATTGTAAAAAATCTAGGTATTTTCTATCATCATCATCATCTCAGCCACAGGACGTCCACTGCTGAACATAGGCCTCCCCCAATGCTTTCCATGTTACCTGGTTGGTAGGTATTTTCTATATCGTTTTAAATAGGTGAATTACGAATGTAAAAATGTATTTCTATTGTTTTTTCTGGCAGCCCTGTTCGTAGAGCCTCATCGATGACATGTTTATGCGCGCGCGGCTCGTAATGGGGCGACTTTATGCGCCACAAAAAATACGAGTATACCCGAGTAAAAACGATGCATGAAGTAGCGACAGTCGAGGAAAGAATAAAGGCTCTTGTCTATGATACTGTAACTCAAAAAGCTCGTTATTAGTGGGTATGTGAACCTTTTTAGGGCACTTATACAAGTCCCAAATATAGCTTGCTCTACCACCATTTCGGGACATTATATCGGCAGTACTAAGAAGAATCAAGAACTACTCAGAAGTCAAAATCATTACATAGTAGAAAACAAAGTCGTTTTCCGCTGTCTGTCCCTATGTATGCTTAGATCTTAAAAGCTACACAACGGATTTTGATGTTTTAATAGATAGAGTGATTCAAGAGGAAGGTTTATAAGTATTCGTAGCACCCGTGCGAAGCCGGGGCGGGTCGCTAGTGAAAATAATAAAAATAAAATAAAATAAAAACTAGAATGTGATTAACTGAAATTGAAACATGAAGTTCATTCCTTTTTCAAAAAAGACACAATTTTAAGGCTGGGTTGCACCATCTTTCTTTAACTTTGACAAACGTCAAAAATCTGTCCAACTTCATACAAAAGTTAGGTGGTACAACTCTGCCTAAAGACTTTCTGACATGGATTATTTCACTGTTTAGTGACAATAATGTAGGTCATTTTCTATACTTGTGCTGACGACATCCTAAAATAATATACAAATCTTCTGCTGACATTCTCAGCGAGTACCTATCTTTTAAGAAGATAAGTCAAGTTATGTTTCTAAGTAAGGAAATAATTTGTGACATGATTATTAGAAAGCCGAAACACCCGCCGGTTTGTATGGTCCATTGTTCCTGTGGCTACGTTTCCATTAAACATTAACGACAATGTATAAAATTGTTACAGAAACAACCTAAAGTTCAATGAAAACATGAATACATTGCAAGGGAATAAGAATTAATTACTGAAATCGACCTCCCTAGTAATAAAAAGTTACACTCTTCTTGATCACTATTTTAAAATGGCATTTCCATACTAAATGTCACTTTAAAACACTGTTCAACGAGCGAGTGTAAATTTTATTAGTAAGGGGGTTAGTGTCTAACTCTAGAGTAAAATATTTAAATAAGAATCGCAGGCTTGTGGTACTTATAGAGTCTATCACGCCGTAATATTATGAAGGAGCTTATTATAACTGTGTGATTTTATTTGACAGGATACGACCATTTGAAACACCATCATTGCTATAAATTACGAACACTTATGAATAAAATTGATAGAGAGATTAGTAAAGGTTCGAGACCAAAACAACGTGTGCAGCCCGCGTGCGCGATGGCGATGGCTATGGCGATCAATGCGTTTACGTCTGATCGCCATCGCCATCGCCATTGCCATCGTCGAACCTTAAAATTCCCGTGACGTCTTGAACTAGGTAATGGACACGTGCACTTCATCTCCCAATCGTCGTAACTAATCCGTGTGACACGTAATACTTCCTGCGGAGTAATGCCGCATAATAAGCCATTGCTTTGAGTTATCGCCCTTTTCTTTATTCATCCGTTTTTCGGCCATTTCGACCACTCTCACAGTGTAGATAGGAACAGCAAGTTTTATATAATGTGTCCGGAGAATTAGTGATGAAACTTTAAGGGCGTAGTCAATGGACAATTTTATCGATGAAAATACTTAAAATCTAGGGATTGACCCACTTCTCGCCAAATTACAAGGATTAAAGCTTTTTATTTTAAGTATTTCAATTCTTCTTTCAAAAACAAGTGTCACCATGTGCAACTTGACACTAATAAGCAAACATTTTATAATTTAAAATAGCTAACAAAATTAGAAAACAGAACTAAGTTCCTTTTCCAAAATAAGCAAATTAAAAAATATTCAAAAAGGTATTTATAATACGTGAAAATTAGATGAGAGATATGAAGCCTCATTTTGATATCTTATTTTGAACTAAATAGGTTCAAGCAAGCAAGCATTACTTAAAATACGTACTCTTATTCCATTCATCAAAAGACCTTATTAAAAACGTAAGGCATTTCCTTCATTCAGTCAGTCTTATCTAACGGGGTCTGCTGACTCTCCCTGCACTGTGCCGCGCCCGAGATTTCTTTGCTAGTGACGGTTTTTTAGGCGCCCGCGCAGGGTTGATGTATGATATCATAATTAACGCGCACAATGGCCGCCGGTGTATTATATTGAATTTAATACGCCCGATTATGATTATTATTGCTTGTAGACAGAAAGCCTGGTTTATTTTGCATAAGAAAAGAAAGTATTTATTATATTATTAATGGGATTTCGATTATAAAATTAATTCAATAGCTTTTTTATAAGGCAATTCAAAAGTATTTTTACTTTAGTGCAAGAAAAAGGAATACGAAGGTAATCATTATTTAAGAAGGTGTTTTATAAAGAAGAAAGCTATTGAGACATGTTATTAGGATAATAAATAAGTTAACGAGTATTATTAGGTAGGAATTTCAATTTATTAAAAACTCAAATAAAAAATCTTCAGGAAACAAATAAATCAAATAGCAGATGTAGAATTAAAACTGGCGTTTTATGCGACATTCAAAAAGGACATAAAAATATAATTACTAACACATTTTGTATTCCTCCTACACAAACATACACCTTTTAAATCGTCATAACATTCTGATGTAGCGTCCTTTCACACTGTCCGACTCTGTCTTCTTCTATGACTATAGCATAATTAAAACTCAGCGTGAGAATCACAACTTCTAAAACTAGTATTATTAACAATCTTATAAATTTTAGTATTATAAACAAACGTTCTTCGATTGAATTTAAGAAATAAGCTACTGTTTTAAATCAATGGTTTCATTACTATCAGTCATCATTTCAGCCATAGCACGTCCACTGTTGAACATATGCCTCTCACTATCAGCAGAATCTTAAAACTTTATATTCCTAGCTTAGTTTTGCTATACTTCAAAGATCTAAAATCGGATAACATTTTCTACAGACACAGAGTGACTGTAGGTTTGAATTTAATCCGCCGTATTAGCGATATCTATCAGTAATAACTCCAATATAATTATTGCTGTTAAAAACGCCTGTCAGCTCATCTGATAGAGCTCATTGCAGTTTTGCCAAAAAATGGAGTTACTGATACTGATATCGCTAGCACGGCAGTTTTGCTGACATCTATGTAATCTGACTCTACATCATATCAACGAACAGTTATGTTTTATACGAGTAGGTTATGTATTTTCAAGAAAAGCTACCAAGTGAACATCGGTTACTGCTTTTCAAACTTCTGTCCAGCCATCATGCAGACTCCCTAGCCCGCGTATTATGTAACACAGTCACGTAGCCCTCAATTCGTTAGCGTCGGCCTTATACGAACGTTTTAACAAGCGTTTGGTGACGTCGGGGGCTTCCACAAAAACTGGGCTTCGTTTGTTATGATTTTTGAAATTATTTGCAAAATATTTGTCACATATTGAGGAGAGCGGTTTCTCTAATAAAGGCACTTACAGGAAGTTACAGGGCAGATAATGCACCATACTAGAATGTGCTAATTATCATCAGGTGCGATTGCTGTCTATGTCAATGCTTGCCTTGTACTGCATAAAAAGTACGTATAACTACAGTAAATAATGAGGTATTCAGAATGAGGATATTTTATTTTAATTGACTGAAATTGTGTCCCAAATGAAACAGCTGTTTGAACTACGGAGCTAAAACTCTACTGGACCATTTATGTCACTTCACAATAGCGCCATGCAAGCAGCCAAATACTAAGTTTTATTTTTATTTCCAATGTAAATAGATAACTGCCTTGCCTACAATACGTACCTACTGTGTTCTTCTGATTAATTGCGTAACGGGCCCAATGAAAGATTAACTTTCCCCCGGGACAAACTTGACCTTCACTGGTTGGGTTGTGGCGGTCAAGCTGTAGATCCTGGCTTCACAGAAGTTGCAGCGGTGGGAATTAGATGTGGGAATAGTTCCGTAGCCTACAGTACTTTTATGTACTTGTACATGTGTTTTTTTAATTTAATTTTTATTTTATATGTTTTTTAAAAAAGGGCCTGATAAAATAGTAGTGTCTGAGTTACAAGAGACGCGATAGCGGCCCAATAAATAAACCGCGCGCCAATAACATAATTCACGTCATATTTACTAAACACGAATATTTGTTTGTCGTCGTATTGTTTTGGCATTTCCCTAGGTTGTTTGTGTAACCCAATCCGAGATGAGTCGCCATTTCACGCGGTTAATTAATCGGAATGATTACCGTTACACAATCATTGGCGGCTGATATGGACGACCGAAAGGAGTTGTGTGTCGTGGTCGTGCTGTTATTGTTTGGTGAGTTTTTGATTAGTTAATACAATCTACTTGTCATACCTACTTAAGTTGTATTGTAGTTACATCTATTTGCTGCGTTTTAAGAGTCAGATTTATTGTAATATTTACTCTAATTTATAAAACTCCTTTATTTTTCATTGACCTTGGATTAGTATTGAAAATTGTGTACAAATATAATATTTTACGTATTGCCTCTGGTAAATTGGAAAGGGCCTTATGTTCCTGGAGTGGAGACTGTGACCTGATGATGACGATTTTTATTTAACCATTTTTTAGCATTTCATTATAGGCACATTTATTGTCCCGAACCAGTGGTAGTTTTTTTTTTACTGGGACGTGTTTAAGTACTTTCTAAAAGCATTTATTACTTTGTACCCATGACTTCGAAAACAAGAATAATAAATAAGGTTTCAACTTTTTAATGATATTTCAGATCGGTCGCTCCCCGTGCCCATACAAAGTATGATGAAGATTGCGAACTGCGATGCCTCGCGGTCCACCGAACCTGAGGGCAACGTCGGCCAGAGCGCTGCCTTCCCATGGCTGGGACTGCTAAGGGTGCACATACGTGAGTGTTGTAGCTTTGTAATGGACTAATGGGGGTCGCGGATTTGAGCCCCGCACTATAATAGCAGCAGGCAGGCTTTCCACTCGACGGACCAGAAATCTAGTGCAGATCCCGTTAAACACCTGGATGCGAGTAGTGCAAAACTGGTCGTTGTGGCGATCTTTGGGGAAGGCATTTGTCCAGCAGTGGTTTGATTGAAACTAAATACAACTGTATAAATATTTGCATACATGAAACAAAGACCTCTAAGTAACTTAGTTACCTAATAGACAAGATTATCTAAATCAAATCAAATCAAATCAAATCAAATCAAATCAAATTCGTTTATTTGTGGAACATAGGTAAATAACATATTACAGGTGTTAAAAATTAAGTCGGTATCACTATGTTTGGCCCAAGGTCGGCGTACAAATTTACATAACATCATTGAGTCGTATTAGGTTAGTAGAAATTAAATAAAATAAAAAGTAAGTTAGTAATGTCCAATCAGTAACAATTTCATAAACATTTAAACATAAAAAAAAGTCAAGAATCTTACAATTTGTCACTTAAAAACTCTGTCAATGTGTAGTAGGCTTTGCTTAATAATAAGGATAGCAGCTGCTTGCGAAATATCTGAATATTTGTGTCTTTTAGTGTCTGTGGTAATTTATTGTAAATTAAACTAAATTAAAAGTCACAACGCAGGCATAATACTGATTGATTAATTTAGGAAAACTCTTCAAAATAACAAAAGCGATGAAAATCTCTCACTCTCTCGGTACTAATAACATACATAGTTAGTATATTGTATAGACAGTCGGTACGGAAATGATTGAAAATAAAAAGAAATTTCATAGATAGATAAATGTTCACGTTCAACAGACGACTTCGACCAACTGAAGATAGCGGTGACGGGCCTGATACTGGTAAAGGAGAGGTACGCCGTCGCCAACGCCGATGATGTCTCAAGGATACCCAAGCACGTGTTTACGTAAGTCAACAGACTCTTATGTAGGGATTCCCTAACTTATTTGAGAAGGGAGCGCCCCTTTCGACCATGAAAAAAAATCCGCGCCCCCCCTCCTCCAGTCAAGATTATTTATTGGTATCGAGCAGTCTGGAATGTATTCTCTCAGCGCGCCTCCCTTTAAAGGTCCTAGCGCCTCCCCGCACTTTGGGAACCCCTGCTCTAATGGATACCACTGATAAAGCCCCTGATAGCCTATTAGAAAGTTATCTGTCAGATGAAGTACAAGTTTAGTTGTTTTAGGATAGAGATATTTGGCAGATAGAGTAACGACTCTATCAGTTCCAAGAAATAAATAAGTAATTTCAGTCTTTATCATGGGACTGGTATAATTTTCCATTGACACAACTTATGTTATCCCACTTATGTTTGTGTTTATACTATATTTCTCTAAGTTCAACAGATAACATAATACTACGTCCAGCAAGTTTATGTACATACCTTAAGAATAGGACATCCTGACACTTAGTTGTTTCCTTGAGGCAGGTCTGTGGGCTTCGTCATTGGAGAAATCCATTTTTTCGCGAAGAGGTAGTGAGGCATTGGGTCCCGCTTAAAGCAATGAGAAGTAGCCACACTGTAGCGAGTAGGCTTGATGGAGCACATCTGCAACAAATGAAGGAGATCATTGTCAGGGATTCGGACTATCCTAAATGTTTATTCAAGGAGAATCTTTGCCTGAATATACACGTAAATAAAATCTGTAAATGTTCGTAAATAATTTTGTCGTTATACAGGGTGTTAGGTAAATGGGTATATGAGCCGACACTAGCCCATGTTAACATGGTCATATAAATGGTATGGTGAAATCAGAAATTTGATGTCATCATTTTATTTTTTTTTAATTTTCATACAAAATTAATTTTATTGAATCCTATTTGTATGAAAAATAAAATAATTAAAATGAAGATATCAATTTTCTGACTTCACCATACCATTTATATGACCATGTTAACATGGGCTAGTGTCGGCTCATATACCCATTTACCTAACACCCTGTAGAAGTACTAGCGGCCGCCCGCGACTTCGTCCGCATGAACCACGTTTCGTATTTTGCAAAATCCCGTCTTAGTGAGCACCTACGTTCTAAAAGGAACCCTCAAACAAAATTTGAGACTCCTAGCACTTGTAGTTTCTGAGATTTCGTGATGAGTGAGTGAGTCAGTCTGTCAATGACCTTTCGATATATTTTACTTTCAGGCAGGACAGCAAAGCCATGTTTATACCCAAAACAGGAGATCCGTGGTTCACCAACCTCAAGGACTACATGATCCACCCTGAGTTTGAGTTCGCCACGTACAACACCATAGCCCTGGTGGAGCTTGACTTAGATCCAGGCACTGTGGGTTAGTACTAATTTTGCTCTAAGGTGCCCGAAAGACCAGCAGCTATAGACTAACCCCCTTATTAATAAAAGTTACACCGTAGTCGAACTCTGGCTTAAATTGTCATTTAGTTTGTCGTTTTAATCCAAGGTTCATCTTAGGTGTAAATTTTTATTAATAAGGGGTAAGAGCTAGTGAACGGCAGCCCTACGTTGTTTTATAAAAGCTGAAAGTTTTTCAGCGCATGCTCCCATCTAATAGTAGGCTCACATGAAAGGAAGTATTAATTCTCAATAACGCTTTATTTAATTACATTTTCAGTGCCATTCAAACCAGTATGCTGGCCAGGCCATTTCTTCAATACGTCGAACCTACTATACGCAGTAGGGTACACAGACGGTACGTACAAATTAATACCTATCGAAAAGTCTTTGACCTAATGAACTGATCCATTGAATTCTTTCAGAAAACGAGCTCATGGAGAAAATAGTTTACACCGTCCAATACATAAAGCCTTCTTTGTGCAACGAATTCTATAATCGAGTTGGAGTAAGTAAAAGCAAGAATATATTTATTAGTTTGTACAACTGATGACCTTTGGAGTAAAAAAGTTCTCGAGTGGCGATCAGACTCCGTGGACTGACAGAATGGAAGCACCAAGATGCGGTCGTTGTGGGAATCTTTGAGGGAGACCTAACTCAAGTAATTGCCTGAAATGACGACCTAACACAAAAACTTTACATGCGCGTATTTAGTAATAAATAATCTCAAATAGACAGTAAGATAGACAACGCATTAGCGCTGGATGCAGGCCGCTGCCAACCGGTCAATTGGCAGATGCGTATTTTCAGCTGTGTCCTGTGGTCAAAATGATGATGATGATGATGATGATGATGATGATGATGATGATGATGATGATGATGATGATGATNGCGCTCGACTTGGCGGGGGCACTGCCGTGCCCCCAGATCTGCATTTATTGTAAGATGGATATTATTTTATTTGTTTGTACTGCAAGCTTTGGAAGTTTTATTTATGGTAGTTAGCCAATTGCTTTGCCACAAAAAGTTAATCATCCTTCGTTACTTATCTGTTAATACACAAAAATATTCTTAAAATAGAAGTACGAAGATAAGGTATGATATTTCAAAAATCTACCTACTATCAGAAAATACGTCCTAATAAACTCGTAAACTCAAACCAATTTCAATATTCACATTATTGGTAAATTAATTAATTAACTGTTTCGCTTATTTGATAAACAGTTGGGAATTCTAAAATCATTATTTCTATTTCAAGTTGGTGGTGTAATGAAGATTTAAATACTTCAGGAGTAACTGGACAAATATAACTGTTTTAAATCTTTTTGAGAAAATACAATTATATTGTTGTATTTTCGCGAAGAAAGTCATGCGACATGGTTATAGCATTATTGAAATAAGTCTCAAGCCCGTGCACAGATATGCGCACTGCGCAGCCTATCTGATTGCCACCGACTGACCATTTAATTTTATTGCTCCTTATCCAATATTTTACTTTGTTATGAAACCTGTAAAGTTAACATTTGCATAATGCTTGCTTGATAAAACGCGAAGGTAAATTATAGGATATTTTGGTGGATCGCCGAGTCGTGACTCTCAAATCATCTTCTAATCCCTAACTTACAAGTTCCAGGAACGACCTAACACACAAATGCATTAATTTACAATATTTATCTAAATTACTTTTTGATTTATGCTTAGTTTTATGAATTACAATCAGTGCCAAAAGTCAGATTCGATCTTGTGCAGTGCGAGATAGATTTAACAACTAGAAAAGGCAACATGACAAAAAATCCCAACTAATATTATAAATGCGAAAGTAACTCTGTCTGTCTGTCTGTCTGTCTGTCTGTCTGTCTGTCTGTCTGTCTGTCTGTTACGCTTTCCCGCTTAAACCTCGCTGCCGATTTTGATGAAATTTGGCATAGAGATAGTTTGAGTCCCGGGAAAGAACATAGGATAGTTTTTATCCCGGTTTTTGAAACAGGGACGCGCGCGATAAAGTTTTTCTGTGACAGACAAAATTCCACGCGGGCGAAGCCGCGGGCGGAAAGCTAGTACTAAATAAATACATTTACCATACATTAAACTCTTTCATGATATACAGTACAAAGAAACGCATGAAGATATTACATTATTACGAAGTTCCGAACGTATGTAAACAGTTAATATTTCATTCACGAGCTATAATATCAGACATCTTAAAGAAAAGTTGAAAGCGAAGAACACCGCATCGGAGGGTTAGATAAATCAAAATAAATAGTACTAAAGATTCAACCCGTAAAGAGAGCGTGGGTCACAGCCAGTCAGGGCTGCCAAGAGCTCGAGAGAGTTGAAATTATTGTTGTCGATGTATCTTAACTGTTGTACTTTCTTTAAACTCGACAGCATATTATGGCTTTTCATTTTGTAAATAGACTTTTACTACAAAATTACAATGTATTAATAAGATGCCATCTTGAAGTGCCATTATAGGTACGATATATTTTATTTATTTTATTTATTATACAAATCAGGACGGTAAAAAAGGACATTAAAATATACAAAAAACAAAACCAGACATTATCCCATATGATATGATTGCGAAAAATTTATTAATGGACATCAATATGAACGTAAAGAATAATTATTAGTTTTCAAAAGACCTGTTAAAAAAAAACTATTTATTTATTTGTATTTGAAATCTCCTCTCACATTGTAAAATACCCAGATCGTTTTAAATAGGTGAATCACGAATGTAAAAATGTAATAGGTGATTCACGAATGTAAAAAAGTATTTCTATTGTTTTTTCTGGCAGCCCTGTTCGTAGAGCCTCATCGATGACATGTTTATGCGCGCGCGGCTCGTAATGGGGCGACTTTATGCGCCACAAAAAATACGAGCATACCCGAGTAAAAACGAAGCATGAAGTAGCGACAGTCGAAGAAAGAATAAAGGGTCTTGTCTATGATACTGTGGCTCAAATTCAAGCTCGTTATTAGTGGGCATGTGAACCTTTTTAGGGCACTTATACAAGTGACAATATAGCTTGCTCTACCACCATTTCGGGACATTATGTCGGAAGTCGCTGACATAGCCCGACGGTTTAGGAAGCTGAAGTGGCAATGGGCAGGGCACATAGTACGCAGAACTGACGGCCGATGGGGCAGCAAGGTTCTGGAATGGAGGCTGCGTACCGGAATACACAGCGTGAGACGTCCATCCACAAGGTGGACCGACGACATCGTAAAGGTAGCAGGGAAGCGCTGGACGCAGGCCGCTACCAATCGATCAACGTGGAAAGCATTAGAGGAGGTCTATGTTCAGCAGTGGACGTCCTATGGCTGAAATGATGATATCGGATGGTGGTAAGAATAATCAAGAACTACCTACTATGAAGGTGCTGGTCGTCTAAAAGCAATGATGAAAACTAAAACATGCATTCCATCACAATTTTGTGTCAAAAATGTAGGCCATGTTCTAGAAAACCATACTTATAAATTTATACTGACTTGTTCTGACGTCATATTAGAACTTTACAAATCTTCTGCTGACATTGTCAGAGAGTATCTTTTTAGGAGATAAGTCAAGGCAATATTTCTAAGTAAGGAAATAATTTGTGACATGATTATTAGAAAGCCGAAACACCCGCCAGTTTCTATGGACCATTGTTCCTGCGGCTACGTTTCCATTACACATTAACGACTATGTATAAAATTGTTACAGAAACAACCTAAAGTTCAAAATGTTGACGTCGAAATAAGTTTTGTCTCGATGTGGCATCGTCTGTACAATTTAATATTGCATGCTCAATATGAGCAATCTGTTGTAACGAATTTTATGCCTAAACAACTGCAAACTGGTCACAGAAAAAGCAATAAATAAATTCTATTCTATTCTATTCTATTCAATGAAAACATGAATACATTGCAAAGAAATAAGAATTTTAACGGAAGTTGACCTCCCTACTAAATAAAAGGTACACTCTTCTTGATCACTATTTTAAAATGGCATTTCCTTACTAAATGTCACTTTGAAATACTGTTCAACAAGCGTGTATATTTTATTAGAAAGGGGGTTAGTGTCTAACTCTAGAGTAAAATATTTAAAGAAGAATCGCAGGCTTGTGGTCCTTATAGAGTCCTTATCATGCAATATTATTATGAAGGAGCTTATTATTACTGTGTGATTTTGTTTGACAGGATATGACCATTAAAAAACATCACCACTGCTAAAAATACGAAGGCTTGTGAATAAAATTGATATAGATGAGATTAGTAAAGGTTCGACCAAACCAACGTGAGCAGCCCGCGTTCGCGATGGCGATGGTTATGGCGATCAATGCATTTACATCTGATCGCCATCGCCATGGTTGCCATCGTCGAACCGTGACGTCTTAAACTAGGTAATGGACACGTGCACTTCATCTCCCAATCGTCGTAACTAATCCGTGTGACACGTAATACTTCCTGCGGAGTAATGCCGCATAATAAGCCATTGCTTTGAGTTATCGCCCTTTTCTTTATTCATCCGTTTTTTCGATCATTTCGACCACTCTCACAGTGCAGATAGGAACAGCAGGTTAAATTTTTGTAACTTATTTCTGTTGTATGGTATTTTTAGGATTTATCAATTTTTATCACGTGTTCCTGGCATATCGAAACTCTTAAAATCGCGGCTAGTCCTCCATGTGTCATTGTAGGACAGCCGATTTATGAATTGCATCTTCCATAACATGGCTTAAAATATCCCTTGGAGTTATCTACATATCATAATAAAGATCGTAGATCGTTTTCTAATTATAATCATAATACGTAGAATATTCAAGCACTTCCAAAGATATTTAATAATTTGTGAAAATAATTGCAATTAGATGGAGAGATATGAAGCCTTATTTTGATATCTCATTTGGAACTAATTTTCATTATTTGTACTGCATTCAGGAACTAAATTCAAAATCTTGTTAAAAACGTAAAGCATTTTGTTTATTCAGTCTTTTCTAACGGGTATTGCTGACTCTCCCTGCACTGTGCCGCGCCCGAGATTTCTTTGCTAGTGACGGTTTTTTAGGCGCCCGCGCAGGGTTGATGTATGATATCATAATTAACGCGCACAATGGCCGCCGGTGTATTATATTGAATTTAATACGCCCGATTATGATTATTATTGCTTGTAGACAGAAAGCCTGGTTTATTTTGCATAATAAAAGAAAGTATTTATTATATTATTAATGGGATTTCGATTATAAAATTAATTCAATAGCTTTTTTATAAGGCACTTCAAAAGTATTTTTACTTTAGTGGAATAAAAAAAAACGAAAGTAATAGTTATTTAAAAATATGTTTTATAAAGCCATAACGAGGCATTTATTAGGATAATATAAGTTAACGAGTACTATTAGTATATGTAGAAAATTCAATTTACCTATTATAAATTTCAACAAAATAACTTGACTAAACAAATAAATCAAATAGCAAATCTAGAATATTATTAACTCTGGGGTTTTATTTACGCGACATTTAAATTTAAGGACATAAAAATATAATTACTAACACATTTTGTATTCCTCCTACACAAACATACACCTTTTAAATCGTCATAACATTCTGATGTAGCGTCCTTTCACACTGTCCGACTCTGTCTTCTTCTATGACTATAGCATAATTAAAACTCAGCGTGAGAATCACAACTTCTAAAACTAGTATATTAACAATCTTATAAATTTTAGTATTATGTTCTCCGATTGAATTTAAGTAATAAGCTATTGTTTATCAACGGTTTCATTACTATCAGTCATCATTTCAGCCATAGGACGTCCACTGTTGAACATAGGCCTCTCACTATCAGCAAAATCTCACAACTTTATATTCCTAGCTTAGTTTTGCTATACTTCAAAGATCCCAATCAGGTAAAATTTTCTACAGACACAGAGTGACTGTAGCTTTGAATTTAATCCGCCGTATTAGCGATATCTATCAGTAATATCCCGTCGTCTAGTACCCATAGTACAAGCTTTGCTTAGTTTGGGACTAGAGGCGCAGTGTAAAATGTCCAAGGATATTTATTTATTTATTTATATTTATTTATTTAATAACTCCAATTTTTTGCTGTTAAAAACGCCTGTCAGCTCATCTGATAGAGCTCATTGCAGTTTTGCCAAAAATGGAGTTACTGATACTGATATCGCGAGCACGGCAGTTTTGTTGACATCTATGTACTCTGACTCTACATCACAGTTATGTTTTATACGAGTAGGTTATGTATTTTCAAGAAAGCTACCAAGTGAACATCGGTTACTGCTTTTCAAACTTCTCTCCAGCCATCATACAGGCTCCCGAGCCCGCGTATTGTGTAACACAGTCACGTAGCCCTCAATTCGTTAGCGTCGGCCTTATACGAACGTTTTAACAAGCGTTTGGTGACGTCGGGGGCTTCCACAAAAAATGGGCTTCGTTTGTTATGATTTCTGAAATTGTTTGCTAAATATTTGTCACATATTGAGGAGAGCGGTTTCTCTAATAAAAGCACTTACAGGAAGTTACAGGGCAGATAATGCACCATACTAGAATGTGCTAACTAACATCAGGTGCGATTGCTGTCTATGTCAATGCTTGCCTTGTACTGCATAAAAAGTACGTATAACTACAGTAAAAAAGGAGGTATTCAGAATGAGGATATTTTATTTTAATTGACTGAAATTGTGTCCCAAATGAAACAGCTGTGATGAACAGCTACGGAGCTAAAACTCTACTGGACCATTTATGTCACTTCACAATAGCGCCATGCAAGCAGCCAAATACTTAGTTTTATTTTTATTTCCAATGTAAATAGATAACTGCCTTGCCTACAATACGTACCCTACTGTGTTCTTCTGATTAATTTCGTAACGGGCCCAATGAAAGATTAACTTTCCCCCGCGGGACAAACTTGACCTTCACTGGTTGGGTTGTGGCGGTCAAGCTGTAGATCCTGGCTTCACAGAAGTTGCAGCGGTGGGAATTAGATGTGGGAATAGTTCCGTAGCCTACAGTACTTTTATGTACTTGTACATGTGTTTTTTTAATTTAATTTTTATTTTATATGTTTTTTTAAAAAGGGCCTGATAAAATAGTAGAGTCTGAGTTACAAGAGACGCGATAGCGGCCCAATAAATAAACCGCACGCCAATAACATAATTCACGTCATATTTACTAAACACGAATATTTGTTTGTCGTCGTATTGTTTTGGCATTTCCCTAGGTTGTTTGTGTAACCCAATCCGAGATGAGTCGCCATTTCACGCGGTAATTAATCGGAATGATTACCGTTACTCAATCAGTGGCGGCTGATATGGACGACCGTAAGGAGTTGTGTGTCGTGGTCGTGCTGTTATTGTTCGGTGAGTTTTTGATTAGTTAATACAATCTACTTGTCATACCTACTTAGGTTGTAATTACATTTAGAAATAGTATAATAGTAGAAATAGTTCTATTAATAAAGTAATGTAAGCCTTTTTTTTTGCCTGAGATACAGGAATTAATTCTTAGTTCAGGCACGTATGTACTTTTACCTATTATAGTTTAATATTAGCCTATTGTTAAAAACTGTCAATAAGTTATTCAATAAAGAATTTATTTATTTTATTTATTTATTTGCTGTGTTTTAAGAGTCAGAATGTAATATTTACTTTAATTTATAAAACTCCATTAATTTTGATTGACCTTGGGTTGGCATTGAAAATTGTTTACAATTAAATTTTACGTATTGCCTCTGGTAAATTGGAATGGGCCTTATGTTCCTGGAGTGGATACTGTGACCTGACGATGACGAATTTTATATAACATTTTTTTAGTATTTTATTATTGGCCCATTTATTGTCCCGAACCAGTGGTAGTTTTTTTTTACAGGGACGTGTTTAAGTACTTTTTAAAAGCCTTGATTACTTTGTACCCTTCGAAAACAAGAATAATAAATAAGGTTTCCACTTTTTCATGACTTTCAGATCGGTCGCTCCCCGTGCCCATACAAAGTATGATGAAGGTAGCGAACTGCGATGCCTCGCGGTCCACCGAACCTGAGGGCAACGTCGGCCAGAGCGCTGCCTTCCCATGGCTGGGACTGCTAAGGGTACACATACGTGAGTGTTGTAGCTTTGTAGTGGACTAATAGGGGTCGCGAATTTACGCCCCGCACTAGGCAGGCTTTCCACTCGACGGACCAGAAATCTAGTGCAGATCCCGTTAAACACCTGGATGCGAGTAGCGCAAAACCGGTCTTTGAGGAGATCATTGGGGAGGCTCTTGTCCAGCAGTGGTTTGATTGAAACTAAATACAACTGTATAAACATTTGCATACATGAAACAAAGACCTCTAAGTAACTAAGTTATCCAATAGACAAGATTTAGTATATTGTATAGACAGGAATTTTCATAGATATGTTCACGTTCAACAGACGACTTCGACCAACTGAAGATAGCGGTGACGGGACTGATACTGGTAAAGGACAGGTACGCCGTCGCCAACGCAGACGACGTCTCAAGGATACCCAAGCACGTGTTCACGTGAGTCATGAAACCCTAATCTCATGGTTCACCACTGATAAATCCCCTGATAGCTTACTTATTAGGAAGTTATCTGTTAGATGAAGTAACGACTCTACCGGTCCCATGAAATAAATAACATACGAGTATTTCAGTCTTTATCATGGTACAGGTAAAACTGTCCTAAAACACTACTTTTATTCCACTTATGGGTTCGATATATTTTTTTATTTCCAAGCACACATAGTAATGCTTCGTCCAACTAGTATACATAGGTGTACATACCTTGATAATAGGACATCTTGGCCCTCAGTTAAGAAGTTTCTTCCTTGGAGAATTCCAATATTTTCGTGAAGAGCGAGGTGTTGGCACCCAGATAAAACGAATTTGATCTTGGTGCAGCATATCTGTAAAAAAATTCAAGATCATTGTACGTACAGGCAATAACATTGCGCAAAATTTTATGAAAAGAGATACTATACGAGTAATAAGGCATGTTATATTTGTTTGAATCTTAGAGTAAAGACTGCTTTATTTCCAGGCAGGACAGCAAAGCCATGTTCATACCCAAAACAGGAGATCCGTGGTTCACCAACCTCAAGGACTACATGATCCACCCCGAGTTTGAGTTCGCCACGTACAACACCATAGCCCTGGTGGAGCTTGACTTAGATCCGGGCACTGTGGGTTAGTACTAATTTTGCTCTAAGGTGCCCGAAAGACCAGCAATTATAGACTAAGAGCTAGTGAACGCCAGACCTACGTTATTTTATAAAAGCTGAAAGTTTGTCAGTTCATGCTCCCATTAACCTTTTCAACGCCAATGACGGATACATGCGTACATCAGGTTGACCGCCAACGACGGATTAATCCGCCTTAAAAATGATGTCAGTAATAGGCTAATTGAGTATTATGTAAACTGAATATTAATGAATACAATGATTATATTGATATCATAATTTATCAAGCGTGGCGTCCAGAGTGATGGCTTTTGTATTTGACGTGGCGCTGAAAAGATTAAAAAGTAGGTTCACATGAAAGGCTCTATTGTTTTATGTTATATGCATATTTTAATACTAATTACAGTATTAATTGTCAATAATGTAACGCTTTATTTAATTACATTTTCAGTGCCATTCAAACCAGTATGCTGGCCAGGCAATTTCTTCAATACGTCGAACCTACTGTACGCAGTAGGGTACACAGACGGTACGTACAAATTAATACCTATCGAAACGTCTTTGACCTAATGAACTGATCTATTGAATTCTTTCAGAAAACGAGCTCATAGAGAAAATAGTTTACACCGTCCAATACATAAAGCCCTCTTTGTGCAACGAATTCTATAATCGAGTTGGAGTAAGTAAAAGCAAGAATATATTTATTAGTTCGTACAACTGATGACCTTTGGAGTAAAAAGTTCTCGAGTGGCGATCAGACTCAGTGGACTGACGATTTGGTGAAGTTCGCGGGAAGCACCAAGATGCGGTCGTTGTGGTAATCTTTGAGGGAGACCTAACTCAAGTAATGGACTTCCTTTGCCTGAAATGACGACCTATCACTAAAACCTTACATGCGACGTGCGTGTATTTATTTTAATAAATAATCTCAAACAGACAGTAAGATAGACAGGCTACCTCATAGAGGTAGTGGTAATCCATTACCTCTATGAGGTCGCCAGCGCATTAGCGCCGGATGCAGGCCGCTGCCAACCGGTCAATATGGAATTCCCTGGCGGAGGTGTATATTCAGCTGTGGATGTCCTGTGGCTATTAATATGATGAAGATGATGAGATACAGTTATTAAAAATAATTATGTAATTAGTTTTCGGAGCCGAAGTCAACGCCACCGTACGTCCAATGCGGATTCGCGGCCAACAACAAGAAGGACTGCGTCTGGGAGAACGGCATGGCGCTCGTCTCCAACTCCACGGGCTCGTGGACCCTGGTAAGAGGCTATTGGATATTTTATTCTATCCTCAACCGCCAGATTCCTCAGTTACTCCGTAATCATGGCGCTTCTTGCAACAGTGCCGAAATATCGAAATTTTGGTATGTTGTACATGGTAGCGATAATTATTTTATTCTAGTTAGATTTACCCATAGGGTGACTATTTCATTGGCATAATGATTTTCCTGGCAAGCTTGGGTTTCATTAAAACGAATACTTGTGCCATTTTTGAAAGGGATACTAGAAATTATGGCTTCATTGTGCCCAATACTTATGTCTTTCTAAAGTACCTACCTAATGTTGTGTAGGTATGTGTCCACGAATGAATATCAAAATAATATGGAGAGGTGCACGAGAAAAGGGACCAGCGAATAACCAAAGAACGCGAACTACCCATATGCAATTTGCAAGAGCCATGTCCCGTTGACGCTCGAGGAGGTAGGTAATGTAAACCCTCGAGCTAAGCTAAATAATTGCTTATGTTATGAGTGGGTTCACCAGAATCAGTTCAGTCCAGCAATGACGGGGTTCAAAATACTGACTGGAATCGGCAGTCTGACACTGACACCGTTAGGCTATTGTCGCCTTCAATCATGATACAACTCTTCATCTTTTCATTACACTATAATTCGGTTCTAATCATCTGACCTTCCCAGATCGGCTTCGGCATCCGCGGACCAGGCTGCGCAGCGCCGGCGCGCTTCATCGACATGTCGGCGTACCTACCGTGGGTGGAGTCGGCCACCGACCTCGAGCTCATCGCCGACTACCCCGACTTCCGACGCAGGTCCGCCTTCAGGACTGGCTTCGGGAACAATGAAACTGAAGGTGGGTTGTTTGGTTCAACGGTTAAGCGGTTCCGATCATATTTGATCATCCTAGATCGGCTTCTCGTCGTCTAAGTCGTATTCTCACTTTCTTTGGCCATATTACACGTGGAGACGTCGTTCCTGTTGAACGACTTATCGTGCAGGGGAAGGTTGAGGGCACGAGAGAGCGCGGCAGGTGGGATGCGCTGGACTGACCAGGTTAAAACCGCACTCAATGGTCCACGAGTGCACAATAAAGGCTGAGTGTGGGAGGAATGGTGACGGATTGTGAGGCTTGCCACCGGACCTGGTGTGACGACCACGACCACTCTGGCAAGAGTGTAGCGATGAAGAAGAAGAAGATGGGCTTCGTCAGCGCGCTTCATCGACATGTCGGCGTACCTGCCCTGGGTGGAGTCGGCCACCGACCTCGAGCTCATCGCCGACTACTCCGACTACCGACGCAGGTCCGCCTTCAGGACTGGCTTCGGGAACAATGAGACTGAAGGTGGGTTGTTTGGTTCGACGGTTAAGCGTTTCCGATCATATCTGATCATCCTAGATCGGATTCAGCATCCGAGGACCGGGCTGCTTTTATTGTGTTAAATTATTTCAGTATTCATTAATAGTTAATTCATGCCCGTTCTCCTATGAAAACAAAATTCCTGATAAGTTTTACCATAGGGGTCACTTAAAAAATAGGGATTGATGTGAAAACGGGCATTACTTTCGTAAATATGAGTTGATGGCGAAATAGTAAAACCGATTTCAGTCGTTTCAGATTGTGGTTTTGTATTAACTGTGGTTTGGCAAATAAACTTTAACCCTAGAATTAAGCACTAACTATTGTATGCTACCTTTATCAGGTCGTCGGTCCACCTTGTGGGTGGACGTCCCACGCTGCGTTTTCCGGTACGCAGGCATGGATGCAGGCTGCTACCAACCGTGCGATGTGGAAGTCATTGGGGGAGGCCTTTTTTCAGCAGTGGACGTCCTGTGGCTGAAATGATGATGATGATGATGATGATGATTTGTATGCCTTCAAGGTGAAACGCAGCCGATCTATGTCCATTTATAATAATTTGACAACCTATGTACCTGTGGTTCACAATAAACGTATTTTGAATTTGAAACTATTTGAATTGAATAATGTTCTGTTTCAGAAATCCCAACCACTACTCCCACGACAACGACACCGTCATTAGTGCTGTTCCGGGAGTGGTACCCCGGCATCAATAGCGAATCAGGAAAGTTCCAAATCTACAGTCTTACCCCGGGCCAGGAAGCTTGGTATGAAAGTGAGTACTAAGCAACATTTATAATGTCAAGTTAGTTGTTACAATGTTTTCTGACATAAAACTTTTCTATAACGTGTAGGTAAGAAGGGGATAATGGTGATTGATTTTACAACAATTCATATCAAGGATCATTCTTATCAAGGAAATTCAAAAGACCAGACAAAAACTACCTACCTGCTTTATAAAAAAAAAAACACTTCTAATACAACTGCTACGCTAATCGTTTTTGTAATGTTTATTATCAAAGACAAATTAATGTTTCTCTGTAAGTCTTTATAAGAAATAAATATCTTTAACCACAAAAACTGAATGCAAAAAGTCGAAGACAGGATAAAAAGATGAGTATTGAAGCAGTGGATTGGTAAAAGCGGATGATCATCAGTCACATAACTCAGTTCAGTCCACTGCTGAGCATCGGTCCCTTCCAATGATTTCCAGAATGCCCGGTTGGTAGTGGCTTGCATTCAGTGTTCAGTGCATTATTGCAATCTTTATAAGGTTTTCCAATTTGCACAGAAACAGACGATCGCTATGGAAATCCTTGGGGAAGGCCTTTGTCCAGAGGTGGACGTTATTTGGCTGAAACGAATGAACGAACAACGAACGGCCAATCAATAAGGTTCTGGAGTGGACGCCACGTACCAGAAAGCGACGACCTCATAAAGATAGCAAGAAGGCGCTGTATGCAGGCCGCTGCCAACCGGTCATTGTGAAAATCATTGGGGGAGGCCTATGTTCAGCAGTGGACGTCCTATGGCTGAAATGATGATGATGATGAATGAATGATGTTCAATATGGTATTGTATTCAGTGCCTAGACACTTGCAAGAAGCCGGCTTCAACCCTGGTGACTGCTCCGGTCGCAGGATCCTGGTCTACCGCGAGCAGATGAGGCTGGTGGACCCCAACGGCACCCCGGGCAGGGCTGAATACAAGGTAAGTGGTGGTCAATATAACAACCACCAGTTTTAATCGTTTAAAAAAAAGGAGATTGTTCTTAGGAGAGGAATTTAGTTTGATTTTTTTATTTGAATTTAGATTATTCAGCCTCCCAAGTGCCAATATCACTCATGGATATGAGTAGAGTTGAAGGGGTTTTCCGAATGATCTGAGTAATAAAATAATTTATTTTTTGCAGGCCACGCTGTACGACGAGCATATTCAAAACTACACGTGTATAAGTGTCAAGGTATAGCCTGACCAGGAACATAAAAACCCTCGCCATGTTGCGGAAAATTAATGGTACTAATTTCTTTTAATGGCAACAGTAACTGAAAACTTCATTGATATGTCACCTTGCATGTCAGTCTATAGCTGTCAAAGTGTAAACAAACTTTATTTTAAATGTGCGCAATTGATTTTGTGAATTAAATTGCTAAAATCTTTATACAGTGTGAGTCACGTTAAAGTGTACATATGAAAATTGATCAAACTAGACCTATTTTTATCGACAAAAAATAGGTCAAAAATTTTTTGAGATTTTTTTTTAATTTTTTATAGAATTTTTTTTCTTCCAATTACTTATTGTAAAGAAAACATAATAACTTTTAAACTGAGCGGTATATCTTGATAAAATAAAAACAGTAATAATGCTAAATAACAGGCAATACTAAAAAAATACATAAAATACACAAAAAAGGCCAACAAATAATAAAAAAAAATACTTTTTGAAAAAATCCGCTTAAAAATTCGTGTTTTTTTGGTTATTTGATAAATTTCTCCAAAAAATGCCCCTATAACCGGTAGTTTTTATTACTTTGTATTCATGCGATTTTTGGTTTTACAAAGATAATACGATAGAAAATAATACAAAGTAATAAAAACCACCGGTTATAGGGAAATTTTTTGGAGAAATTTATAAAATAACCAAAAAAACACGAATTTTTAAGCAGATTTTTTTCAAAGTGTATAATTTTTTATTATTTGTTGGCATTTTTTGTGTATTTTATGTATTTTTTAGTATCGCCTGTTATTTAGCATTATTACTGTTTTTATTTTATCAGGATATACCGCTTAGTTTGATGATGATGATGATGATGATGATGATGATGATGATGATGATGATGATGATGATGATGATGATGATGATGATGATGATGATGATGATGATGATGATGATGATGATGATGATGATGATGATGATGATGATGATGATGATGAGTTATTAAAAATAATATGTAATTAGTTTTCGGAGCCGAAGTCAACGCCGCCGTACGTGCAATGCGGATTCGCGGCCAACAACAAGAAGGACTGCGTCTGGGAGAACGGCATGGCGCTCGTCTCCAACTCCACGGGCTCGTGGACCCTGGTAAGAAATGCCGTGGACATTTTATCGTGCTAAATAGTTAGGCATGATAGTTTTACACTAAAATTGTGGGGTAAAATATTGTACACACATTCACCATCATTTGTGTACTAGCGTAGCTTTCAGGGAATTTTAGGTTTCTTTTTAGGAAATTATACCTTTGTTGCATTCACTTACATAATGCATATTTATGTTTATTGCTTATCTTCTGTTGTGTATGAGTCCTCACACGTACGGAAATCAAACCATGGAAGTTAGTTAGTTTTAAAGGTCATATCACACTTATGAACCCGGAAAGGGACAAAGCCGTATTGCCTTTAGCCACGCTGTCCACCGTGAGGCGAGGCGTTTACGTTACGGTGCGGATAATGGCATGAAACTGCTTGTCAAAACGCGTCATTTGACAAGCCCCGCACACCAACTTGACAGAAAAATCAAGTAAAAATTTAGTTACCTGATTCGCTATTGATGCTACTACTTAACACGTGTAATTTAGCCTTAAGTGTAAGTCATGCTAGGCATCTCAGCGAGTTTACATCGAAAACAAAACACGCACGATGGCCCCCTACAGGATTACTATTCGACAAGGCCTCACATACGAGCGAACATTGACTCCCGCACGCGTATTCTTGTGTATGATGGAAAAAAATAAAGAAAATGGTGTACTGCACAGTATTAAACTGCCTAAATAATAATAAAAACACAGAATGTACTTTTTAAATTGCCTGAAGACACTGAGAGGTAAATAAGTAGTTAATATTACGATAATTCATGCTAAATCATGTATTTCCTCCGCCATTTTCTGCAGTTTGGCACCTCACGTCACATCATTTTACCGAAGTCAGCCCTATAGCTTCAGCGCAGTACCGATCACTGACGTTTGTCAACATAATGGTGCTTGACTCTTGAGACAAGCTAAATTACATCATATTGTTAATGACATTGAGCATACATTTCTTTAAATACCTTAGCGAAGTAAAACTTCTGTACGTAGTACTTATTATTATTCTGTGGTCATACAAAGAATACTGACCATCTCGAATTGATATGTTTACCATCTGCTTCCGGGTTGATAAGTGTACTTTGTCCTTTAGGTTCACGATTGAATATCAATGGCCAAATTTTTGTTATTGAATTTTTATGATGGCCAAAATTGTCCACCTAGATCGGCTTCGGCATCCGCGGACCGGGCTGCGCGGCGCCCGCACGCTTCATCGACATGTCGGCGTACCTGCCCTGGGTGGAGTCGGCCACCGACCTCGAGCTCATCGCCGACTACCCCGACTACCGACGCAGGTCCGCCTTCAGGACTGGCTTTGGGAACAATGAGACTGAAGGTGGGTTGTTTGGTTCGACGGTTAAGCGGTTCAGAGGTGGAATTGTGTAAAGCAATCGTTATCATTTGACAGTTCATAACGTACGATAAAGTTAGTTAAACAAATCGTTTGACAGAATAATGGTACGTTATGAACTGTCATATGATTACGATTCATCATTTTCATCATCATTTCAGCCATAGGACGTCCACTGCTGAACATAGGCCTCCCCCAAATGATTACGATTGCTTTACACAATTCCACCTCTGATCATATTTCATCATCCTAGATCGGCGGCTTCGGTATCCTCGGCTCGGGCTGCTTTTATGGAGTTAAATTATTTTAATATTTATTAATAGTTAATTCATGCCCATTCCCCTATGAAAACAAAATTCCTGATAAGTGTTACCATAGTGGTCACTTTAAAATTAGGGATTGATGGTGAAAACGGGCATTAGTTTCGTAAATATGAGTTGATGGGGAAATAGTAAAACCGATTTCAGTCGTTTCAGATTGTGGTTTTGTATTAACTGTGTTTTGGCAAATAAACTTTAACCCTAGAATTAAGCACTAACTATTGTATGCTACCTTTATCAGGTCGTCGGTCCACCTTGTGGGTGGACGTCCCACGCTGCGTTTTCCGGTACGCAGGCATGGATGCAGGCTGCTACCAACCGTGCGAACGTATTTTGAATTTGAATTTGAAACTATTTGAATTGAATAATGTTCTGTTTCAGAAATCCCAACCACTACTCCCACGACAACGACACCGTCATCAGTGCTGTTCCGGGAGTGGTACCCCGGCATCAATAGCGAATCAGGAAAGTTCCAAATCTACAGTCTTACCCCGGGCCAGGAAGCTTGGTATGAAAGTGAGTACTAAGCAACATTTATAATGTCAAGTCAGTTGTTACAATGTTTTCTGACATAAAACTTTTCTATAACGTGTAGGTAAGAAGGGGATAATGGTGATTGGTTTTACAACAAGGTCATTCTTACCAAGGAAATTGAAAAGGCCAGGAAAAAACTGGATGCAAAAAATCGAAGACAGGGTAAAAAGACAAATATTAAAGCAGTGTCAAATCATCGTCATCATTTCAGTCAAATGACGTCCACTGCTGAGCATCGGCCCCTTCCAATGATTTTCAGAATGGCCGGTTGGTAGTGGCTTGCATTCAGTGTGTTATTGAAATCTTTATAAGATTTTCCAGTTTGTTAATTTGCACAGAAACAGACGATCGCTATGGAAATCCTTGGGGAAGGCCTTTGTCCAGCGGTGGACGTTATTTGGCTGAAACGAATGAACGAACGACGAACGGTCGATGGGGCAATAAGGTTCTGGAGTGGAGGCCACATACCAGAAAGCGACGACCTCATAAAGGTAGCAAGAAGGCGCTGTATGCAGGCCGCTGCCAACCGGTCATTGTGAAAATCATTGGGTGAGGTCTAAGTTCAGCAGTGGTCGTCCTATGGCTGAAATGATGATGATGATGAATGAATGATGCTAAATATGGTATTGTCTTCAGTGCCCAGACACTTGCAAGAAGCCGGCTTCAACCCGGGCGACTGCTCCGGTCGCAGGATCCTGGTCTACCGCGAGCAGATGAGGCTGGTGGACCCCAACGGCACCCCGGGCAGGGCTGAATACAAGGTAAGTGGTGGTCAATATAATAACCACCAGTTTTAATCGTTTAAAAAGGAGATTGTTCTCAATTCAGTTTGAATTTTTTATTTGAATTTAGATTATTCAGCCTCCCAAGTGCCAATATCACTCATGAATATGAGTAGAGTTGAAGGGGTTTTCCGAATGATCTGAATAATATAATACGTTTCTGTTAATTTATGAAAATATTAGATAAGCCTATAATCCTGAATCCTGATACATAAAGTTAGCCTATTAATTTAATACAGGTACGACTGTACCCAGTGTTGCACTATCAAATGCAATTGAAGCGCCTCTATGCCAGGGTTTTTATGTTCCTGGTCAGGCTATACACACAATTAATTAAGTGTTTTTGTTTTAAATCACTTACATCAGACTATGCATGTACACTTTTAAATCGCACCTATTATAAGTACCACTTAAAGTGAGTCTTCCAGCGACTTGGCCCACCCACTCAAGGGCCAAGTCATCGGCTCGAATTTTTATATTTTTTTCTTTCGGCATCTAGACCCACCTTCAATGTTAACACCAAATCAACAAAAATCTACTCTAAAATCTTAGAGTGAAGAAACAATATATTCAAACCGGCGACTTGGCCCGTGGACCAAGCTAAAAGTGGGCCAAGTCGCTCCACGACTCCGTGACACAGTAGGTACTTAATTTTCAAGTGAACACTAAGACTATTTTTTCTCAATTTCATAGCTGGAAAACGTTCTATCCCGGTCACCAGTTCTTATTTGGTTCCGCCACCACATGGACCTGTTAGAGGGAACCGGCTTCAAAGGCGGCATGGGAATAGACACTCCCGAGGAAATCCTCAAACGCATCCCCCTTCCCAAGAAATATGAGCTCACGACTGAAGCACCACCACTCAATGGGACTGCTACACCCATCTACAAACCGGGGAAGCATCTGGAGGCAATATTCGTGAAGGACAAAGTCAACCGATCTGGCATTTTGAACATCAACCTGATCATAGGTGAGAACATGGTATACATACAGGGTGGAATTTTGTAATGCCACCTGGAGGGAAAGTACCTACCCTTAATACTGTAGATAGATAATTTTACTCAAAGAAAACATTCCTTTATTTGTGAAAAGAAAGAGAACTGCATTCAAAGATTTTCGAAAACATTTCGAAAATTTACCACCATACCATACAATTTTCTGTAAATAATTACAATTATTTAAGATTTCATGGTTTTCCTTTCATTTGATTTATCAAGTTTGTTTGGGAGATTTTATCCTTAAACTTAACCCTAACGATCGATGCAATAAAAATGTAATTTTTAACATGATTCGATTCCCGGGTGTAGCAAGCAAATTTTTGAAAATCTTTGAATGCAGTTTTATTTCTTTTCAAAAATAAAGGAACGTTTTTTTTAAGTAAAATTTTCTATCTACAGTATTAAGAGCACTTTCCCTTTAGGTGGCATTACAAAATTCCACCCTGTATGTAATCTTTAAAAGGGTACTCAAAAGGTACATCAATGTTTTATGTCTATGATGTTTAATTTTCAGTATCTGAACTTTGAACACTTTAAAGGTCATAGCACACTTATGAACCTGGAAAGGGATAAACACCAAGTGTCAACCACGAGGCGAGGTGTTTACGTTACGGTGCGGATAAATGTGCGTTACAGTACGGAGTTTCTACAAAGAATACTGACCGCCTCGAGGTGATACGGTTACGATCCGTTTCAAATTCAAATTATTTATTGAATGTCACAATGTTTCTGGGTTGATAAGTGTGCTTCATCCTTTACTCGTCCGAATATCTTAAACAAATATCCTACCTCTATTTTGGGACAATAATGAGCGATAGATTAGATATAAATCATTCGGGAGTTGAGATCACACCTGTAGACGTATCAAAAAATGCTCGCAATTGCTTTTATTTCAGGGTTCACCTTTACGGGAGAAACAAAAATGAATTTGAGGGTATACGGGTACCCCATTCCTCGGTTCCGGAAGCCAACCACCACCACTACCACCACCCGAATGACCCATAGGCCTCGCAGAAGGAATAAGCGGAAGGACCGCTTTGAGAGGGCCAGGGAGAGGGAAGCGGAGAGGAGGCAAATACGCGTGGCCGGGAGGAATCATATTGGATATTTGCAATACCTGTGAAATTGGCGTTTTGTATAGAGAAAACTCAATTTACAGTAGGATTTTAGCACTTTTTTAAGGACAGACTTAATCATAGTGCCACTTATTAATAAAAAGTTACACCCTAGTTATTCTTCTTCTTTGGTTTATGGCGATGAACTTGCGTTTTTTCGCTACTGAGAGCACACTATTGAACACTTTTTAAAGTGATGTTACTAAAATTAAATGTCACTTATTACTTACACTTACAGACGAAGTATGTACCTATGTAGAAACATAATTATTCGCATAATGGGACATTAAAATTTTAAAATTATGTAGATTTGTTGTAGATAAATCTTTGAATTCCAATTTAAAAAAAAAAGAAGTAAAGAAATAATGGAGACTATTTACCTAATTACTGGAATTACTCCTAAATGGGTATTTGAAACACTTTCCCTCATAACCTCGCGGCCTCGAATCGAACTGTTCTTTATTCAATGAGTTTGTGAACTCGTGCGTTGTGTTTACAAAACATTATTGTTTAGCAAATGAATGAACCATTCAAAATACACGTTTTAAGCGATAGAAATGAGTGTAAACTACGAGTATAATAGATTTCACGAGAGTTCTGTTTGGGTCACTTGACCTGACTGACCTGACTGATATGGACATCCACAGTGAAGTGCTTTTTTTATTCCTATTGCCGTTATTAACTGGTAAGTCTTTCAAAAATCTTTATGTTTTATTAATCATAGCAGTCAAAAAATATCGTCGCCTTAGTTAGAGTAAACCCTTGAAAACCTCGGGAATGCATTTTTTCTCATATGCATTTTGGTCAATCTTACAGAATATAACAGTTCTCAATATAAAGGCAGGTTAAATGCACACATAAATTAACAAAAAACATAAAAGACGTCGTACTAAAATTTTACAGCGCGCAGTTTTATCTTACTCCTGAAAAATTGCTTCTTTTACACTTACGGGGTTCTCACTCTAAGGCATCGATATGTAAATATTAAGCACATTATACGACTAGATTCTTTATTTGTCTAGACATCCTTTGAAGAGATCTGACCAATCTTTATTTTTCTAAACACAGAGCAGTCTCTGCCAGTTATGATACAGGAGAGCCCTGCCCTCAAGCCAGAGTGCGACGACGCGCGCTACGATCGTGCACACGAAGGGAACATCGGGCAGAGCGAGGCTTTCCCTTGGCTGGGGTTATTGAAAGTCTATTTACGTGAGTCTTTGATAAATTGAAGAATGATGAAGTCGACACATTGGTAGAAACCACAGTAGTCAAATTAGTCTTTAAGAGTATCCCTTTTCACTCCAAGAATAGAGTAAGATTCTGATTCTGTAAATCCCAATCCCAACTAATATTATAAATGCGAAAGTAACTCTGTCTGTCTGTCTGTCTGTCTGTCTGTCTGTCTGTCTGTCTGTCTGTTACGCTTTCCCGCTTAAACCTCGCAACCGATTTTGATGAAATTTGGCATAGAGATAGTTTGAGTCCCGGGAAAGAACATAGGATAGTTTTTATCCCGGTTTTTGAAACAGGGACGCGCGCGATAAAGTTTTTCTGTGACAGACAAAATTCCACGCGGGCGAAGCCGCGGGCGGAAAGCTAGTAAATAATAATAATAAATTATTTATTGACATAGAGTGTTACACTGTAAATATATAAATAAATAAATAATAAATAAATATCCTTAGACATTTTACACTGCGCTTCTAGTCCCAAACTAAGCAAAGCTTGTACTATATGGTTTGTAGCTGTATTTTTCCTAAATAAGTGGTATTCTATGTACTGTAGCTATTAATAAATAAATAAATAAACTGTAACGAACTTTGAAAGCCGTTATCGCAAAGCTACTAGGATGGTTCGAGATACGGCGATGAAAGGCGCGAAAAATTAGCTGCTTAACAAATTATTCTATTCCATTCCATTCTTTTTAATGATGGACAGGAGACAGCAACATAAGCCAGACGGCGGTGACGGGGCTGGTGCTGGTGACAGACCGACACGCCATTGTCAACGCTCGTGACGTGGCTCATATGCCCGAGCACGTATTTAAGTAAGTACCTAGTGGTAAGTGTACCTAGTGGTAAGTGTACCTAGTGGTAAGTGTACCTAGTGGTAAGTGTACCTAGTGGTAAGTGTACCTAGTGGTAAGTGTACCTAGTTGTAAGTGTACCTAGCTGTCATACATTTAGGACGAAAGTCTACAATCATTTATGGCTCTGAAACGTGACTTCCCACTATGGGCCTTATAAGGAAGGGCTATGCTCGTGTTTCTTTACGAGTTCGAATCGGAAATGAGGAGATCTGTAAACGAGCTAGAGTCGTCGATAGAGCAAGCTAAAGTAGCAATGGGTAGGACACAGAACGAACAAATGACGGGTCATGGGGCAGCAAGGTTCTGGAGTGGAGACTATGTACACGCAATCGCGGCATAGGACGTCCGCCAACAAGCTTCCACGGGGGGTTAGCTGGATTATTAGTGATTTGTATTAACAAATTTCTAATCTATACTAATATTATAAAGAAGTAAAGTTTCTGTGTTTGTATATTTGTTACATTGTAAGGGGTAATCTCGGGATCTACTGAACCGATTTTAAAAATTCTTTCACCAATAGAAATCAACATTATTGCTGAGTGTTATATAAAACCCGAAAAATTCTACGCGGGCGAAGCCGCGGGCGGAAAGTTAGTATTCTATAAAACTGTTTGTAGCTACGAGTACTTTTTAGAACTTTATTATTACGTTCGAACTAAGTACCTATTTAATTGCATTGATTAGTAGAGAAGGAACTCCCAAGAATTAAAAATATCGTTCCAGGAATGCAAGCACAGTAATGTTCATACCCAAGAAAGGGCAGCCTTGGCACACCAAGCCAAAGCGCTACACAATCCACCCTGAGTATGGTGTCTCCACATACAACACCATAGCTCTGGTGGAATTGGAGTATGATCGCAGAGCCCAAGGTATGGTTTAAGTCCAAGGATATTCAAAAAATAAATAAAATGGTATTTTGTGAACCAAGATGCTGATAAAGGATTTTATTCCAAAATAGTGGTAGGTAGGGAAAACTATTTAGTATCTATGTATAGTGCAAGAAATGCCTATTCAAAGGGCCTACCGGATAAAGGATGAAAATCATTGACATGTTTTTAAAATAAGACTCTATTCAGGATGTCTCATATTAGAGTAATGTATTATGTATCATGAGTAGTTTTATATTAAAAGGATGCCAATGATTTAAATCTCAACCTGTTTAGAGAATTTGATTTAGGGCTGCCTTTAACATTTCAGTCAAACCAATATGTTGGCCGGAACACTTCTCGGTAAAAACAAAGACAAAGCAGTTTTATGCGCTAAGTTTTACAGATGGTATGTATGTCTCAAGTTTTTATAAATTGTGTTAAGTTGTAGTACTTATGTTTAGTAGGTAACTTAATATTTGTGTTTTTTTCCAGAAAATAAAGTAATGGAAAAAATGATTCACTCTTTGCACATCTTGAAGCCTTCTGTCTGTAAATACTACTACCAGAAAGTTACGGTAAAATCCTTAATAAAATTTACCCATAAACCGTCGTAAGTAGTAATAATAATATCCTTGGCCTCCCGCCTTTGTCCAGCAGTGGACGTCATTTGGCTGAACCGAACGAACACTTACTTGCAGTCTATGGGACTATTCCCACTTCTCATTCCCACTGCTGCGACTCCTGTGTAGCCAGGATCTACAGCTTGACCGCCAATAAAAATCCAACCAGTGAAGGTCAAGTTTATCCCGGGGGAAAGTCAAACTGTCATTGGGCCCGCAACGAAATTAATCAGAAGAACATACGATATTCACAAACGATGCTTGCTTAAGTGAAGCAGAAAATCGAACACACAGCGTTGAATAGAGCTCTTTGATTGGTTCGTGTGTTACCCTGTGTGTCCACGCGCACTGTGAGACCTCATAGTAATGTTTGTGAATACGGGTGTTATAGTCTGGTCTGTGAGCACGTAGAATTTTGTCCATTGACTCCAAGCTACCCATCCTTATCGCTCGCGCGTAATTATGTTGCTGTCGCGCTCGCACACTCACTGCGGGCGCCCGTCGCACAGTCGCGTCAGCAATATAATTACGCGCGAGCGATAAGGACGGGTAGCTTGGGGTCATTGGACAAAATTCTACGTGCTCACAGACCGGGCTTTAGAATAGGTTAACATTACTTACAGTCCAAAGAGCCGAAGTCTGCGCCGACGCATTTGAAATGCGCGATGGCGGTGAGCGGCGCAGCGGATTGCGCGTGGGAGGCGGGTGCAGCGCTGGTCTCCAACTCCTCCGGCAAGTGGACCCTGGTAATTGAACACCTGGTTTTTAAATCATATATTTTATATATATGGAAAGGGCTATGCTCGGTGTTTCTTTACGAGAGCGAATCAAATGAAGAGATCCGCAAACAAACTAAAGTGACATAGCCCGATGGATTAGCAAGCTGAAGTGCAACTCGGTCGAAACGTCAGGAAAATACAAGGTCAATTTTACCTACCCGCGTATCGCGTTAAAACCTGTTTAAATTAATTCAATTATGCAACGCGAAAGTTTCAAATTATGGATGCTAACCAATAATTTTGATGTTGCTTGGAAAGCAGATCGGATTCGGCATCTACAGTGCCAGTTGCTCGGCGCCCGCCCGCTTCATCGACATCGCCGCGTACCAGCCCTGGGTCGCTTCGGTCGCCGCGCCCGCCCGCCCGGCCTTGCGTGCCACCGATGGAAAAAACTTCATAGGTTTATAGAAAGACTAGCGGCCGCCCGCGACTTACCCCCTTCATCTATCTTACGCGGTTTAGATTTTTTCATACAAATGTTTTTTCCCGCTAACTCCCGTTCTCGTGGGAATTTTGCAATATCCTGTTGTAACTAAGCTTTAAGTTTACTAAGGTACCTGCATGCCAAATTTCAAGCGTCTAACTTAAGCGGTTTAGATTTTTCATACAAAAGAATTTTCCCGCTAATTCCAGTTCCCGTGGGAATTTCGAGA